AGTGGTTGCCTCTGCTTAACCCGAACACCATTAGGCACAGAGTCCAACATCTGCTTGAAAAAAAAAAGTAGTTAAGACAATGACAAAATGTATATTGCTACAACGGTTTAGCTATATGATGCTTGATTACCTTCCGTTCATGTGGTCTACTAGAGAGATGCGTGATGAAATTTTCATAGCCTTGGGAAGCATGATCACAGACTGTGCAAACCAATTCACCCGTTTCACTCCGCTTATCCTCAAGCGCTCCTGAACACACACACGCACAAAAAGTAGTCAGCTCAGCAACAGAAGAGATTTTGCTGGTTATTTCGAGGACATACACACCTGCCCAAAGAATATCTTCGAAACGAGTAGTTGGAAGACAGTTGTATCTCCTCGGTGGTATCACGGTTTCTTCATTGGATATGACCATTATATTAGCTGGAGGTGGATTACTGTTGGTAAATCCATGAACAAGATTCCGAATTCCGCTGGAACCTGTTTCAGAAACTATAGACTTGAGACACTCTATTCAATAATATCAATTATTATTATTATTGGAAGGCACAAGGATACAAGATACTAACCGTCAAGGACACAAGTCACACCGATACCACCGGAAAAATAGACTCCTTTGTTAGTTCGCCAACGACAGTGATGGTGAGACGACCAGAGTAGCCTCTATTCTTCATATACCGTCGAATATACGGACCGACCCGATCAAGATAAAAGCGAGGGGGTACCGGACACTTATTGATGTCCCAAAACACCGATGTTACAGCCTTCTTGTTTATCTCGGGAGGCCCAATTGTTATTGGAGCAATGTACTTTTCGAAGAACTTCTCCAAGGGCTGCTTGTTGAAAAACCACAAGTGAGGTATAAAATTTAAAAGTGATTAGACACACTAAAAGACTCACAATGAACACAGGAGGAGGAGGAGGTTCAAGGAAAGGCACAAAAGAAGTCGGAAGAGCAAGAGGCTTAGGGATATCCATCAGTTCCAACTCCTGCAGAAAATTACAAGTGAGAAAGGGAAACGTTAATGACTAAAAAATAGCTATGACAATGACAAAAAAAATGTATTGCTGCCAGAAGAAAGCTTTGAAAAGCATTTTTACATTCAAACGGTTCAAGAAGGTTGTATCCCATACATTCACAGTAGTCAAAAAGAGCAGGGTACGGCTCAAAAAAGGTAACTATGTTAGCTGGAGGTGGGTTCTCCTCGGAAACGAGCCATCATATCCCTGTAACCTGTTTCAGACGTGAGACTCTCTATGAATATTCATCATATCAATTAGGATGACAACAACAAGAGGAGGATATTAACCTTCGGCTTCGTGAGTAAGACCGACTCCACTGGAATAGAGTCCTCTCAGGATGTCATGAGAGACGTCTCTTAGTTCGCCAAAAGCAGTGATGGTGAGGGGACCAGAGTAGCCACGAGACGCCAAAAACTGTTTAGTACACGGACGGACCAGACGAGGATCAAAGCCCTGGGGAAGCGGAAACTTATTCATGTCCCAAAACACCAATGATACATACAGCCTCAGCCTCCTCTTGAGTACGAGGCTCCTTCGTCTTTTCAAAACCCTAAAAAAAAAAGATAAATTGGGAAAATCAAACACAACAGAGGCCGAGCCCTAGAAATCAATATCGATAGTGGGAAAACAGTAAAAACGAATCGAAGCAGAAATTAAGAGACGAACGAACCAGAAAAAGCGATTCTGAGAAGTGGCTAACGAGAGTCGTCATTAGATTCGCCCACACTGCAGAGAGACTAACCACCAGAGAACGTCAAAGGAAAGAGAGCCCATGCAAACAAGGCGTTACGAGCCGTGCGGAATATATGTCGTGCTTCCATCTTTTAGGGTTTTCTCCCTCTCTTTTGGGCCTTATTACTAGCCGACAATAATTATAATAAGAAATCATTAAGCTAGTTGTCTCTTACACTAGATGCTGAAATTCTAAATACCAACAAAATATAAGAATTATAGACAAACAAATTAAATGAGAATATATATTTGTTTATTTAATTTGTCGGCTTTGATTTATTATTTTTGTCACACATATTAAATGAAAAATGTATTGGTGTGTCGACTTCGGAATGTGGTTTTGGTTCATATATTTAGATAAAACTGAATTTAGAAGAGATTTGTTTTTAAAATTTTGGTTTTGGTTTCAG